GTTGAGTGTGCCTACCCTTCTTAAATTCAAGCCTTAGCACACCAGTTCTGGAGGTCTCAAGGAGATCTCTGCAAAGAAGTAGCCCGTCTCCTGGGCTCTGGAGCCCAAAGGAACTTGGGTAGGGAGGAGGATGGAAAACTGAGCCTCCCCTGGACATGTGCCCCTGCCACCCCAGCACTAGTCCAGATGCATCTTTAAGGAACTAGGGTAAATGATTTGAAATTAGCCCTCTTGGGAGAGGTTGGTAGTGCACTCCCTGGACTAGAGCCTGAGGCCACAGGCCTCCTCCCCAGCCGGTATCACTCACAACTCCCAAGTCTCCCATCTCTCTCTCTCTCTCTCTCTCTCTCTCTCTTTCTCGGGGCTGGGTCTGCACAGCCAACTGGGAAGGGTTTGTGCCCTCTCTCCTGGGCCTGGCAGTGGGAGGTGCAGTGGCCCAAGAGAGAGCCAAACTTGTCTTGTTTGAGGATGTGGGGGGTGGAAGGGCCTTCAGCTGGCGGTGGGGCTCATTAGGCAGAATGGGGTGCCGAGAGGTGCGCGGCGCCCGCCCCGGAGGCCGCCTTTGAGCCGTCGGGGCAGCTTCATTAAGCGGCGCTAACAAGGCATACAAATGCCGGGCCCAGCAGCTTTCTTGCGATGCCGGGTCCTTAGCAGGGCGCCAAGCTAATGAGGGTCACTCAAAGGGGCTGATCAAATATTCAAATTTCTCCGCACGCCAGGAACTTTTATGTGCGGTGAAAGTTGAGGCAACTGAGCTGTGTTTACTGTCCCGAGCGACAATTGCTCGGAGCGCGGGTCCCGGGAGGCTAAGGGGGGGGGGGTGGCGGCGCAGGGAGGGAGCAGTTGTTGTTGTTGTTGTTGTTTTTCATTCAAAGGAAAGTAATCGGGGTCCTTGAAGGGCTTCCAGGCCTCCCCGCCTACGTGCTGCACTCCCCTGCGCCCTCATCGGCCGCCCACGCCAAGCGCCTCGGTTTGCAGCTTGCAGGGAGGCCCAAACCGCGGGCCCCGGGACCAACCCCTATCTCCCGACTTCCTGGGGGCCGGAAGGGCCGTTGCCCCCCTCCCCCGGTACAAACCGGCCCTCCACAGCTGAGCAAGGCCGAGTGGGTGTAGCTGCTCCGGTCGGCAGGTTTGCGGACTTCTTGGCTTTCCGCGTAACGCTAAGGAAGGAGTGGGTCTCTCAGGCACCTCTCCCGGTGGAGTTAGACTGCTGGGCTTGGGGCTAATTTGTAAATAAATGCCCCGTAGGTCCTAGTACGAGAAAGACACTCTCCGGCTCAAACGCCCTTTCTCCCTGCACCACCTGTACGCAGTCCTGCCGGTTGCCCGGCCCAGGATTAAAGCAGAGACGGTGGTGGCAATTTTGTGACCTCTGCCTGTACGGGCTCCAAGTCCCAGATCCTGGAGTCTGAGCGGCCAGAGGGCAGGGGAGACCTACAGGCCCCGCGGGCTGACACGTTCATCCCAATCTTTACGCTCTGAGAGACCTTAGGTGCTGGCGCCCCCCTGCGCGCTACCCCTCCAGATGTCCTCCGGGCTCAGCTCTCTGCCTTCCCGCTGCCTACTGCCTCGGGCCCCCAGAGCGGCGGGAAAGGCTCCTGGGCCCCAGAACCCGAGGTCCTTGGGTTCCTACGCCCCTCCCCAAAGCCCAGCGCCTGGGAATTTGGGAGGGGAAGCTCTAGTGCTCCATAGCCCCCTCCCCCACATGGTCAGCACTCCCAGACCCAGACCCCACGGAGCCTGCGCTCCCAGCTCCATCAGCCATCCGCGCCGAGGACCGGCCACCCCGCCTACCCCCCTCCGCCCCCCAGTTCTTGGGACTCTCAACTTACGGGCTCCTGGCGGCGGGCGTCGTGCTTCGGGCCAGAGCGGAGAGGCTCTGGCGGCCGCCGGGCCGCGAGGTGGGCTCCGTAGGCGACGCGGAGCTCGGTTCTGCGGGAAGTGTCTGACAGCCCGGGGCTGACCGCCCGCCCCGTGGCGCGGGGCCCTGTCCCAGCGCACAAAGCTGCGCGCCTCGTAGCCGCCCTCCGCCCGGCTTTGCACTCCCGAGTCGCGGCTGCCACCCCAGCAGGCGGGGTGCGGCGCGTCCGCAGGCGCCCAGGCCAAGGCTGGGGGCAGGGGTGTCGCCGAGCTGAGTCGCAGCCCCACTTGCCTCAATTCTCCTTGAGTGGTGACGGTTTTCGATTTCAGCACTTTCGGCAGAGCCCGCGGCACCTGCCCAGGCTCCCTCCGGGGCTGGCTAGGCAGCGGCGGGGAGAGGCCGAGTCGCCCCCACCCGGAGGCGGGGGTTGTGGGGACGGGGAGGGGACTGGCCTGGGTTCACCCGCCCGCCCGGCGCCTGGGTCCTCGGCTCCAGGGGATGCAGTTTCGGGGTCACGAGCTGCTTTCAAAAAGTTGAACACAATATTCGGAAACCCACCCGTAGGAATTCTCCCCCCACACGCGGCACAATACCCACTCCCTCCCCTTTTTCATTCCTTCCTCCCCCGCTTCCTCCTCCTGCCCCTTCCCCCTCCCACCCCTCAGCCTATAATCCTTCCCCTACTAGAGAAAGGGATCGGGAAGAAAAGATGAAGCGTCTGTTTTTGTGTCCCAACCTTAGGGCTCTTTTCTGGGCCCGCTGTGAACGACCGCCCAGAGCTTCGAAGCTGAACGGAAAAGGACCCACGGTCGGGAGCAAGCTACTTGGAGGGGAGAGATCACCCAAAGTGGGCCTTGGCGGGTCTTCCTTTTGAGCGAATATTTTCCTGCCTCAGTCATTGGGTTTAGGACCGGCGACCCTCGGCTGCCAGGGGCGGAGCAGGCGGGTAGCGGGCCTCCTCTCCCAGCCCAGAGCCTCGGGCCAGAGCAGAGCCTCCGCGGTAGCTCGCCCTTCTCCGCACAGGAGGCCTGGCTCTGCGGGAGTCAAGGCCTAGCAGGACCTGAGCTGGGGTTTAGAAGTGGGACACTCACAGCCCCAGTCACGTTAAGTTTCCCATTTAAATTCTCTCTCAATCTCTCTCTCCTCCCTCATTGAGATCTCCAAAGTGGTGTGGACTCGGTGCCTCGCCCCCAGATCTGCATTGGAATGTAGAAAAGATCTTTTTTTTTTTTTTAAAGAGTTTTGAATTCCTCAATGATTTTTCTTCTGGAAAGGCAGCTTAGGATAATTATTTCAGCTTTATTGAGGGCAGATTAGTTGAAGTCTGGACGCTGCGTTTCAATACGCGTTGTACACGGGCCGACAATGTGGGCATTGTTGGCTACTGTGTGTGAACTCATTCAAAATATACACTTTTTAACACCAAACCGAGTCTTGTCTAAATATACACAGTGCTCAGGGGAAAGACGTCTCTGACCCCGACAAATCTGCGTAAATCACACTTCCATAGTTACAGAAGCCTCACAAAGGGAGGCCCGGCTAAAGATGCTGATTACATCTTCTTAAAAGCAACATACCTTAGAATAAATACCCATACTGGCCCTGGATCTGGGGGAGGGTTGCAGTGGCCAGAGGGAGGGAAGGCTCTCTCTATTCTACGGGCCCTTTGGGGGTCTGTTTTAGGCTTGTCATGTTACTGTGCTTAGATAAAATGGCTTTTTTTTTTCTTTACAATATGAGCAAACACACAGTGTTCAGGCCTATCTGCTTCTTTGAGTAATACTCCAAAGTTTGAGTGTCGTTCTGGGGCTTGTAGGCAGGTCCAGAATTCCTTGGAGGAGTAGGAGTCATGGGCTTGTCAGGGGGCTCCAGAGGGTTCCAGACTTCTCAGCTCCCTGGGCGACACAGTTAAAGTCTGGGGTGGGGAACAAAGAAGTGGATCTCTTTTCAAGATAAAAAGAAGTGTACTGTTATTTTTACTGGTATTTAAAAATACAGAGCAATAAGGGAAATCAAGGCTCCTTGACCAGGGGCAGAGTAAAGAGAAGTGGGTGAAATCCAATGCAGACGAATTGGGATAAATGTGGCCAATGGTCACACACGGAAAAGACCAGAGTGGCTTCTGACACCCTGATTCCTGAGCTCGGGCTCTCAGGTGTTAGATGCCCCCCGAAATCCGGAATCACAGGAGCAGCAGACAGGGTCATCTTGTGGTGGGCCCCATGATCTCATCTCTTCTTTCTTCCTCACCACTATTAGGCTCACATAGGCAGAAAGAGGTAGCCCGACGTGCACACCATGTGCAAACTGTGCCTGCTTAGCCAGCCCTTGGCCTCTCCTTGAGGGCTGGCCCTCGGCCTTCCTGCCGCATGGGGAGCCTCTTACTTCCCAACAAAATCCCCCCTTTAATTGCTCATCCCATTCAACAACTCTCTGTCCATGGCCTTTTGAATTTCTGGATCAACTTCTTTGGGGAAGAGGGAAGAAGGGAGCTCAGAGACATAGAAAGAGAGGGGGGAGAGAGAGAGAAAAAAGAGAGAGAGATAAAGAGGGGGAAGTGGTGAGATTAAGAGTTGCAAAGATTAAAAAAAAAATCTCTTTCTCCCCCTTCTCCCTCTCTCCTCCTCTCCCCCTCCCCCCCCCCACCCTGGCTAAGTGGTAAAACCGTCCTTACGTTCTCGGTATTGATTGGCAGGGCTGACAGTGATTGGCAGCGGTTGCCGTGGCAACGCCACAACGACACGCCGCAGACCAATAGAAAAGCGAAACAAAATGTTTCAATGCTGCACTCACTGTGGATTTAGGGGAGATATTATGAGGCTGTTGTCATTAGGGCGATTGCTGTGGAATCGCTGAATCTTGACTCGGCGGTGGTTGGCTCTCGCTCTTCTCTCTCTCTCTCTCTCTCTCTCCCTCACCCTCTCCCTCTGTCTCGGGTTCTCTGCGCGCGCGCACCGGGCCGCTCTCCTTCCTCCCTCTCTATGTGGCTGCGCGGGTGTGTGTGTGTGTGGATGTGTGTGGGGTGTGGGTGTCCCTTACGCCCTTCCTCCTCCCCCTCCTCCTCCTCCTCCTGCTCCCCCCTCCTTTCCTTCTCCTCCTCCCCCCTCTCCTCTCCCTCCTCTTGGTCCTCATCGCCCCTCTCCTCCTCTTCCTCCCCTCTCTCTTCCTCTCCCTGAATTTTCTCCTCTCCTCTCAGGTCAGTCCATGGTATTCCGCTCCCCCCTAGACCTCTATTCCTCCCACTTCTTGTTGCCAAACTTCGCCGATCCTCATCACCGCTCCCTACTTCTGGCGAGTAGCGGCGGCGGGAACGGTGCGGGCGGCGGCGGCGCGGGCGGCGGCGGCGGCGGGAACTGTGCGGGAGGCGGCGGTGCTGGCGGAGCAGGCGGCGGCGGCAGCGGCGGCGGCTCCAGGGCCCCCCCCGGAAGAGTTGTCCATGTTCCAGCTGCCCACCCTCAACTTCTCGCCGGAGCAGGTGGCCAGCGTCTGCGAGACGCTGGAGGAGACGGGCGACATCGAGCGGCTGGGCCGCTTCCTCTGGTCGCTGCCCGTGGCCCCCGGGGCGTGCGAGGCCATCAACAAGCACGAGTCGATCCTGCGCGCGCGCGCCGTGGTCGCCTTCCACACGGGCAACTTCCGCGACCTCTACCACATCCTGGAGAACCACAAGTTCACCAAGGAGTCCCACGGCAAGCTGCAGGCCATGTGGCTCGAGGCGCACTACCAGGAGGCCGAGAAGCTGCGCGGCCGCCCGCTTGGCCCGGTGGACAAGTACCGCGTGCGCAAGAAGTTCCCGCTGCCGCGCACCATCTGGGACGGCGAGCAGAAGACGCATTGCTTCAAGGAGCGGACTCGGAGCCTGCTGCGGGAGTGGTACCTGCAGGACCCCTACCCCAACCCCAGCAAGAAACGCGAACTGGCGCAGGCCACCGGCCTCACTCCCACACAAGTAGGCAACTGGTTTAAGAACCGGAGGCAGCGCGACCGCGCCGCGGCGGCCAAGAACAGGTCAGTGGCGGGCCCACGGCCTGGCTACCGTCTCTTGGGCCCGGGAGGGAGACAGGGGTTGAAATAGGGGCGAATGGGGCAGGGTGTCCATGTCTGCCGGGCGCGCGAGAAGCCGCGACCCCCTGGCCAGTTGGAGAAAGTTTCCGCTTGCCCAGACGCGCAGAAGAGGGACCGGGCAGTGGGATTCTTGACGACTTTGTCCGAGAGGGGCTTCGGGCAGGGTGGAGAGTGTGTGTGTGTGTGTGTGTGTGTGTGTGTGTGTGTGTGTTTGAGGTCCTGAGTGCCCACAGCCCCTGGTCGCAGCCCTGGGAGCCCTAGCCCTGCCCTGCACCCGTGCCACCTGCTCAGCCGGTCCCCAGCTCCGCACTCCTCTGGAGCCTACAGACAGGGAAGGAAGGAAAGCCGCCCTTGCCATCTGGTTCTTATTTCTATGCACTGCAAAAACCCGGGGAGGAATCCACAATGTCATGGAAAGGAAACTGAACCTGGGTCTCTGCCACAAAAGGAAAAAGGTCGGTGACCGCCTTGGAGCAGGCTTCTCCTTCAGCATTGCAAATGGGCTGCCCAGGAGCTGGACAACCAGGCAGGGAGTGGAGAGGCCTTGTGTGTGTGTATGTGTGTGTGTGTGTGTGTGTGTACACGTGCACACAGGTGCTAGCCCTCCTGCCCCAGTCAAGGAGCACCGCCTTGGTCCACTAACTTGGGAAGCCACCAGGAGCAGGAAGAGCCTCACTGCCAGCACGTTGGCCACAAAGTCACAGAGTTGCCTGGGCTTGGCCAGTCAGCCCACTTGGGCCTGTTGGAGGTAGGGAGAAAAATAACTAGAGGAAAAGAGGAGGGAAGAGGGGGAGGGAGGAAGTGGGGTGAAAGCCCTGGTAAGAAGCCTGCGTCCCTACCTAGCCTCTGAAGGCCCTCGGCTGGGTGTACCACAGGGAGCAGGGCCCCAACTGCTGACAGCTGCTAGGGGCTGGAGGCCAGGGCTGAGTTCCTGGAGTGAATGAGTGTGTTTGTGTTTAGATGGCCCAGGCCTGAGCCCTGGGCCCCCTCACCTTTGCATGCAGAGCCAGTTTTTCGCCTGAGACGGGGGAGTGCCCGGGACAGGGGGAGGCCTCCTTGTAGGAACTCAGAGACTCTAGGCCCCAGGCCGCTGATGCCTGCTGCGGCAAAGGGGCAGATGGAGACTGCTCTGCACCCTTTTCCTGCTGCTTTCTCTCCTTTCTCTGTTGCACCTCTTCCCCACTTTTTCCGCTTCTGGCTTCTCCGTTCTCTCTGCCCCTGCTCCTGCGCTCAGCACGGGGATCCAGAGAGCAAAGCCAGCCGGTCCTACTCCGCAGAGGCTGCGGGTGAGCAACCCGCAGCTCTGGGTGTGTTCTTCTCGGGAGCTGGGGCAGGAGCCACTGCAGAGACCGACCACTCCCGGGCAGCCGGTTCAGTCTGAAGAGTCCCAAGGGGCTGGGAAGGAAGGAGCACCCTGTCCCTCGCGGACTTGTGCTCTTTTGGGACGCGATGCCCCGCGCTGTGCTCCCAGGCCTCCCCAGGCGGCAGGCCACGGGTGCTACGTCTCCTTGGAGGCCGGCTCCGAGCTGGGAAGCCTTGGGAAGCTCCAGAGAGCCGGGGCGGGGAGACGCGAGTCAAGCCCCGCGCTGGGGGGGCTCTGTGGCGTTCAATGAGCAGTCGGGGGCTTGGAGGCAGGGGAGGGGAAGGGAATGAGCGCCGGGAGCCGAGTCGCGGGTGGTGGCGAAGGGCGCGCTGTGGAGGCTGGGGAGCACCGGCGGCCGCGGGCGCGGGGAGGCGGCTTGACGGAGCCGGGTGGCGGAGCCGCTGTGTCAGGGCTGGTGCCGCTCTCTGTCTCCCGCAGGCTTCAACACCAGGCCATCGGGCCGAGCGGCATGCGTTCGCTGGCCGAGCCCGGCTGCCCCACGCACGGCTCCGCAGAGTCGCCGTCCACGGCAGCCAGCCCCACCACCAGCGTGTCCAGCCTGACGGAGCGCGCGGACACCGGCACCTCCATCCTCTCGGTAACCTCCAGCGACTCGGAATGTGATGTATGATAGCCAAGGCCGCCCTCCTCCCCCTCCCCCTCCTTCCCCTCCTCCTCTTCCTCCTCCTCCTCACCCTCCTCCTCTTCCTCTTCTTCCTCCTCCATCCCCAGAACAAACCGAAATCAGGATACACAATCATACACACACACACACACACACACACAAGTAAACACACACTTCCACCCCAGCCAAAAATATATAAAAACCAAGAAAAATAACAAATTAAACGCAAACTATCAACAACCCCAACCACCATCTACCACCACGGCCACCCCAAAGGACCGCGACGCCAACAGACAGTTACAAACGCTGATGTTGCGGGCAGAAAACATAAAAGAGGTGACAATTGTATACTTTCTAGGACAAGCACGGCTTCTCCTTTCGGTTCCCACGGACCCGGCACCCCACCTGCATGACGATTTATTTGTATCTGGGAAAATATTCTCTCTAGTTTAAACGATTTTAAAAGAGTCGACTATACAAAAAACGACCACCACCACGACGACAAGACGACAAAAGCAAAACAGACAAAAAAGAGAAAAAATAAAATAAAACCGCCATCTCCGTTCAGAATTTGTTTAAAAAAAAAAAAGAAAAAGAACTCCTTGAGAGGGAAATAGCAAATGTTTCTCGCCTTTTGTTGCTCGCTCTCTTTTTTCCTCTCTCGCTCTTCTTTCTTTCTCTGTTTTTAAGTCCAAGTATTGGTCAAACAAAATGCAATCTTCTGTTTTTTGTTCAGCAGACAATCATTTTCTTCGTAAGCACCTTTTTCTCTCCACTCTGTCACTGCCTGTGTGGGTACTGGTTATAAATGTGGAAAAAGAATAGTTATGACTGTAACAGATTTTTATTTTTATTTCAAAATTTTATATGAATTATGTATATCTTAATGATCGGTCATTTTCCCAGTTTGTAATATATGTGTAGAAATTGCCTGTATATGATATTTGCTTTTTCTCCTCTTCCTTTTGCATTCTCCTCCCCACCCCTTCCTGCCTCCCCATTCACCTGTCTCTTTCCTTTTCGGGGTTCCCCTCCCACTCGGTGTTCCTGGCGTCGACTTGGCAGTCAAGGCGTGGCGTGGCGGGCTGGGTTAGGAAGAGGGACCCCGTCGCTAGCGGAAGCGGAGAGTGAGACCGTAGTATTCTTATGCAAAAGCTATTTCGAGTATTTCTTAGCTGCTTTGGAGAAATCTCTCACTCCCCGTAGGGCGCTTTTACTGTTATCTTAACTGCGTGTTTATCTATATGTAAAAACTTTCTAAAGCAAATACAGTATTCTCCATTTTCTTATCACTCCCGGAGACTGGTGTTTTTGTCTGCCCCGGGGTGCAGCCCGGGGTGCAGCGCTGGGCCTTCACTTCCCCTCCAACTACGCCACTCGAGCTGAGGCAGAATTTTAAGGCTGAGTAGAAGCTTTTTCCTGGAGGTGGTTAGGGTTGGGGGTGGGGGGTGGGAAGATGGGAACAGGCCCTTCGGAGGAGAACCGAAGCCAAGTCCGGAATGAAAGGCTCAGAGGGCACAGGGGGAGGGGGGCTCTGGCTGGTTTCTTCAGAAGGAGATGCCAGGCCGAGAGCCGCAGGAATTAGAGCCTGCGGCGGCCCTCGTGGATCCTTGGGGTGTGTTTGGCATCTTCCAGTTGCTATTGTTGTGTGTCTGTGTGACTTTTTTTTTAACACAGTAAACACACAAGGTCACCAAACCAACCATCCAGAGCAGAGCCAACAGGTTTTGTCTTCTTTTTGCGGGGTGGAGTTGGGGGCAACCGTAGTCAGGGCAGGGAGGGCAGAGAGAGCAAAGGAGGAGGTAGTCTGAGGAGTTTAGGGCCTGCAGTTGGGATGGACCCTCTCCTCGCCACCGGTGTTCGCGTCTGTGTGAATCTATGACTTGCCTTATGGCTCTCGATCTCTCTCCTTGAAATTACTTCCCGACTTTTGGAATCAACAGGAGTCTCTCCAGCCCCTAAGACATTTTCAGAGCTGGTTGACACTTGAAAACAAAAACCAAAAAAAATCACCATCTTTTGCTAACCAGGTTCTCACTGGCCCCAGGCCTCCTTGTCCTGCCCAAGCCCCACCCCCCTCCCAGTTCCCTGCGATGGTGTGACTGACCGTGCCTCTGCCACTCTGGGCCAGGCCAGCCGGAGCCCGAGGAGCCAAAGAACTAATTTCAGAAAACTTGCCTTCACTTGAAAGTCCAATTTCCAGAGGCAGGCGGATTAGAGAGAAACGTGCATGGAATTTCACACTGGTTCCAAACTAAATTTGACTTCCGATTTCCTTTTGTCCCCACCTCCAGTCTCGCCATGGGGTTTACACAGGGCCTGGCCCGGGCAGAAAGGCCGACAGGCCCAGAGGTGCCCTGTGCGTGCAGATGGGGCCTTGTGCACCCAGGGTGAGCTTGCCTGGAGGGGAAGGTTTCTGTGTGCATCCTGCCTCAGACCCAGGGCTTTCAGATGGCCTCAAGAGCTTCCAAGTTCTAAGGCCTGGCGCACAGTGTCAGAATCTGCCTGCATTCACCGTCTTGGGAAACATTCCTCATGATGCCACAGTTCAGACAACATTGACCTGGGTAGCAGGAATATGGGGAGGGTGCTGCTGGCTTCTTCCCAGATGGGGCCTCTGTTCTAGTGCACAGAATGATGCCTGGGATGACAAGCTCCGTTCCCCACCTGCATTTTAAAATGTATGGTTCAGACTTGCCCCAGAACTTGGGCCTGAAATCCAAAGAAGGGGCGGCCTCAGACAGTGCAGAGGCTCCGGATGGACCTACCCAGCTGACTAACTAGAATGGATTAGTGGAAGGACAGGGTGGCCCTGCTGGCTGGTGACTCCTGGAGGGGCTTTGACTGGTGAACCAGGGAGCAGATGCCTTTTTGTCTGGGGACAGAGGACAAACTTGTGGACTTAAAAAGCCTCCTTCTCACAACATACCCAAGAAAGCAAGCAAGATCGGAGTATCCAGTACCCACTCCTCCCTCTCTACTGCAGAAGACAAGCCATTCAACTCCATAATAGCCTTCAGCTTTGGGAACCTAGGTTCTGCTACCTGCCTGTCTCGATGTCACCTCTCACTCTCTCTCATCTCCTGTGTTTCTGCTCAGGTCTGTACAAACATCCAAACTCAGCTCCAGGGTACCTGAAGGAGAGGTATGAGTACTTGTGATGAGTGGTGTGGATGTGTACAATTCCGAATGCTGGGCTCCCCCCATGCAGTTGAGGTCTGCATATAAAGGCGTGTGTGCGTGTGTGTGTGCGTGTGATGTTTGATATACATGGGTATATAGTGTATCAGTGTGTGTCCAGTATGTGTGCTCTTTCATATTGCCTATACTGTAGGTATTTGTGTGTGGTTTGGGCAGTTGATACTTACCTTCGGCAAGAAGTGGATCATGTTCAGCTATAGGGTGCTGTGTGTACAGGGCCTTTCCATGCCGTGGACATGTGTTTCGTGGGTCTCCATTCTGGTGGATTCCCTTGTTCTACTCAACCCACAGATACGACTCCCAGGCTACACAGCCCTAACTGACTGTTCTCTGCCTTTAAGGAATGGGAACCGGGGGGTCACAGTCCTTATTCTTTGACCAGAGGCACAGGGGAGTTGGGCTTTTTGGCTTCCCCAATTCATCCTTTACCCTGATCACTGAGGATATTACATTGGATTTGACCTCCGTCCCTTTAAACATGGAAGTGAGAGAAAAGAGGCCCCTTTCCAGCTTGATCTCTCCTTTTTTGGGCTGCCTGCCCATTCTCTTTCTGGGTCCCTCAAAGCTCTGGCCAAGACAATCAACATCCCAGGGGCAGCCAGGACAGAGCTCAGGGGTGAGATCTGATGGAAGTTCCTGCTGGCAGAGAAGCCAGCTCAGCCACTGTGCCCAGCACCCCCCCGCCCACCTCAGCCTGGGAATGCTGCGGGCTGTGTCTTGGGGAGAGTGTGTTCACTGGTATGTCCATTCTTGTGAGCCATGTCAGGCTGGGTGATCAGGCCTCAACATTAAGCATCCACCCTCTCTGTCCAGTCCCAGGGCAGCCCATGGGTCAGCTCTCCTCCTTGTGGTGCTGCCCTGCTCTGGCACACACTACCCTCTCTGCACCCCTGCCCCACACGCTCATACCCCAGCAGGAGTGCTTGAAGTCTTCCCCTGTGTGTAGGCCTCTGTGTACCTGGACTGCCTACTCTAGTGATAAGGAGCTTGAAGAAGAGCAGCGGAGCTGGGGATAGTGTCTTCATTCCTGCCTCCCTCAAAGAAAAACAATGGCAATCCAGAATTTGCATGGGAAAACTGAAGCCACAGAAAGGGAAGCAAAGCTGGAAAAATCTGTGCCAAAGTTGCTGGCGCCTAGAAGCTGCCTGCCTGAGGTTAGAAAGGCCAATCTACCCCTTCCGGCCTACTCACCTCTTCTTCCTTGCACCCCTCCCCCCACTGGGAGTTCTGCACCCTCCCACCCCGCCCCTCTTTTTGCCCTCTTCCAATCCTGCAGAATTGACTGCCCAGCACCAACACAGTTAATTATCCCAAGTGAGACATACAGCTGATTAAAATGAAATGACCTGGAAGCTGCCATGACATGGGGTGGGGATTGCTGGTGGATAGTAGGAGTGAAGGCAACAATAGGAGCCTGGCTGGTTCCGGCTGGGACTCAGGTTGGAGGTGGTGGGAACAGCCAGGGATGGCCAGACTTTGGATGTGGGGAGGGCTACCAGGGAGGCGAGAGGGCCAGGCCCAGGCCTAGGTGGGTCAAGTTGAGGTGGAACGTGAACCCTACTGTGGGCTGTGGCAAGAGAGGGACTCTCAGCTTCTTTGGAAAGGAGAACCGACCAGCCTGGAACATTTGGGATCTAGCCCATCGCTAGGGTCACTAGAGCTCGAAGCCCAGCCTCCAACCTGTGGCACATTGGGTGCACTTGGCCTCCCCCAGCAGGGAATGACCCCCGTCTCTTCTCTCTCACCCTTTTTGTGCCTCCATGGCCATCCAGGTCCCCACCTAGGTCTTTGTTTGGCTGTCCCCTGGAGAACCAGCTGCTGCTTCGGGTTCTTTTCCAAGTCCCTCACCAATCCCCAGCCCTCCCAGTCACTGTGGATGAGATGCCGAGCCCTCTGGGGTGCGCGGTCCCCCAGGTCCTCAGGCCTGCCCAACTCCCCACGGCCCCAAGGCCTTCCAGCCCCAGCTGAGTGGAGCCTCCCCTGTCTCAGTGTGTAAGCCCGGCAGTCCTCCGGCCCAAGGAAGGCCAGGAGGAAGGCCAGGAGGAGGGGAGCAGTGCTAGCCAGCTCCGATTTCTCCGGTCAGCTGAGCACAACTTTCCATTCGAGTGTATTCATGCAGTGGCTGATTGAGCTCTGCAGTGGCGGGCGGGGCTCGGCGGGGCAGGCAGGCATACACCATACACTCACACACACTCAGTCATACACAACTACACCCCTCCACTCACAGGTGATGCACACACCTCACCCCAGGCCATTTCACCGTAAACCCAATACAGGCTTTCCCTTATACACCCACTGGCCCCCAGAGCATTTTCCCAGTGCCCACAGACCTCCTTCCTGACACAACAGAGGACCCCTTTCAGATTTCCTCTCTGCTGA